GGCGGATCACGAGGTCAGCAGATCGAGACCATCCTGGCTAACACGGCGAAACCCTGTCTCTACTAAAAAATACAAAAAACTAGCCAGGCGAGGTGGTGGGCGCCTGTAGTCCCAGCTACTCGGGAGGCTGAGGCAGGAGAATGGCCAGAACCCGGGAGGCGGAGCTTGCAGTGAGCTGAGATGGCGCCACTGCACTCCAGCCTGGGTGACAGAGCGAGACTCTGTCTCCAAACAAAACAAAACAAAAAAAATTTCCTTTTTATCTAAAATATATCAAATACTATCACTTCATCAAATCATCGTTACAAAATTATTAATAACCTATATTTTACTCATTTTTTATATGAAGTCTTTAGAATACGTTATATATTTTACGCCTGTTGTCCATCTGCATTTGCACTAGCCACTTTTCAAGTACTCAGTTGCCACCAGAGGTTGTACCCTGTAGCTCTAGGGCAGGGGTTAGCACACTTTTTCTGTGAAAAGTCAGATAGAAATATTTTAGGTTTGTGAGACACAGTTTCTATTGCATTCTATTGTCTCCTTTATTTTTGTTTCTGTTTTTAAAGATACTTTTAAAAATATAAAAGCCATTTTTAGTTCATGCATGATACAATTACAGGCTGCCTCAGGCTATGATTTTCAGTCCCTGCTCTAGAGTATAAAAATCAGCCCTTCTGAGGGTTCTCTGACTTCTGTGCTAAATCCTGCCTGCTTCTAGTAGCAAGAGTTGCTTCTGTTTTCTACAATTGAATTTGGCAAATTTATACAGAACATTACTCACCTTGTTCTACAGTGTAAGGAAACGGAGACTGCAAGACTTTAAGCAACTTTCCAAGGTCATATACCTTCTAAGCGACAGAACTAGAAAGAGAATCCATAACTGCTCAACTCCAAAGCTGACAATTTCATCTGCTGCATCATTGGCTCTCCATTATTATTAAGACTTCCTTTAGCTTGAGTAATGAACCTTCACTGATCCATTTATTTAGCTTACAAATATTTATTGAATGACAACTATGCACAAGATATGAATAATAGGAGCATTGCCTTTGACCCACATTTAAGCACATTTTTTAAAAGGCTCAAGTTTTCTATCAATTTATGAGATACAAAATGAAGTGGAAAACTGACAATTATTTGTTTGCTTCAATCAATATAGACAGCAAGTCAGATAATTCAGACTTGATCCAGTTAACCCCAAATTGGCAGAGATACAAACATTTTATGTTCTCTGTCTTAATCTGTTTTGTGTTGCTATAACAGAATACCTGAGACTGGGTAATTTATAGCAAACAGGAATTTATTGGATCACAGTTCTGGAAGCTGAGAAGTCCAAAACAGAGGGGCCACATCTCATGAGGACCTTCTTACTGTGTCATTCCATGGCAGAAAGCAAAAGGGCAAGCAAGAGAGGGCAAAACAAAGAGAACAAGTGAGGGCCAAACTTGGCTTTTATGACAAACCTACCCTCGATAACAAACTTACTCTGATGATAATGACATTCATCCATTTGTAGGTTAGAGCTCTCATGATCTATTAATTGCTTCTTAAAGACCCCACCTGTCAGTATGATTGCACTGGGGGTTTAAATTCCAACACATGAACTTTTTAAGAGAAACATTCGAACCGTAGCATTCTCACTTTTTCTAATTCAAATACTTATTTAGCTTCAGACATAAGGAGGAACTAAAATAGATACAGAATCAAGCAGTTACAGGCTACTTTTAAAATAACATTATGGATTGATCAGTCCTTAGGCTAATATGTTAGCTTATTTTTTTTTTTCAGCACATTTACTTAGCCGCATGCTTGTTCACTCCCGCTAGTTTTTGGCAGTTGTCCTCCAACACTTATGCCTTTCCTAATATACTGCAAGTGGGTCACTTATTATTTCTCTTTTAAACATTTAATAATGTCCCATATCTTAAACTGGTTTCTCTTTGGACAAGCCATCCATTATCAATCCTTCCTGAAATTGCAATTAAAATACAAACTAGATATTTATGATGATGTATGATATTCTTCATTTAAAACTCCCGAATAAACCTCTTTCTGTTCAATGCCTCTACTACCCATAATGATACATATGAGCTACACTGGATCATCTCCTTTGAGAATATTGATGATCTTATGTTCATCTATGGGACTCTCACTATGTTCAAAGTCGTGATATCCAAAGGGTAAAATTCCTAGTGTGTATGAATAAATAATATATTTTATAAGGGAAACCAAGGATTCTTCTCTCATTTTGATTTTCCTTTTCAATTCATGTGGCAACTGACATTATTTTTATTATGGGCTATAGTTTCCTCCATAACAAATAGATGTATTGTCAGGTTGGTTCTAGAGATTCTGGGAGTACCTGTCTTCTCTGGAAAGGTTACAAATACCCGGATTGAGGACTGGGAGCTTGAGCCAGAACTCCATTAGCTTTAGGGTGATTTCAGTGTATGTCTGAAGAACGAGTCCAAATGGAATAATATTTGTTTCTGGTACTGTTAAGTTAGGTCCGAAACTTTTTTTTCTTACATCAAGATGGGGGAAGGAAGTGCCAATACCAGGAGAAAAAGAAAAAAAATCTATTCCTCAAAGGCTGAGAAGGAAATTTAGGAAAGCTCCAAACCATTAACTGGGGATACTAAGAAAGCAGGTACTTAAAATCTTTTGATTTAATTATTTAAAAAAATGACTTTATTCATCTAAGTTGTGAAATAATTTTCATTAGGAATATAATAAGTGTTAATAATAATTTGATCGGAATGGCATAATTCAACAACTAAAAGGTGAAATCAAGGGTTGAACTGACTTTTCAGTATGCATGTATACATACGTACATGTTTGTATGTATACATATATTTTTAATTAAATGCTGAGAAATTACAGAGAGAGACAGAGCTATAGCAATTGAAATCATGTTTTTATCATTCTCGTCTTCTTTTGCAATATAAATGAAGATTGAAAAAATTTTAGTAGACTAGTTGGCCATGAAATGGTTCGTTTTTTATGCATGTTTACTAAACTCACACATTTAAGGAAATATCTTCAGGCTCTTCAACCTATTCAATTTTTCTTTTTAATTATGGGGTGAAAATGCTTATGAACAATTTGCAATGTCAATTCACAGCCTCCATGTGAATGGTTTATCTCTCTCACATTAATATGTGCAAAGTATTATTGCTCCCTCTTATGCATATCTAGCAATACCAGCATCTTAGGGACGTTCAAAAAGGTGTAAATTTAAGGGAAGAGTTTCCGCTGAATTAAAAAATATTTTTGTATTATTTTTATGTTACTGAGATTTATTATTAAATTTGCTTTCCAACATTGCTTTCTAATTGCTCCAAGCTTTCAAGAAGCCAAAACTTTGGAAGCTATGGTAATAAGCCGTTTTTAATATACCCAAAGAACAAAATAGGTATGTGTGAAGGTAAGTGCAAAACTTAAAAGTAATTTGCTGTTACCCTTTCTCTGAAGCAAAAAAGCTCTGAGTTTGAATCCTGGTGCATCCTCTTTTTGAGTGGACAAGTTATCTAACCTTTTGCACCTTTCTAAATCTCTCTAAAATTGTTGTGAGAATAAACATACATAATTTCATGTATACATATATTACCTTACAAAAATAAGGCACTGAAAAAATGATTTTTTGTGTGTTAACCAGAAAAGTGTGATTATAAGGACAGGAAGTGACATCTAAATCTGTAAGTATACGGATGCTCTTTTTCTGTAGTAGACATAGGGTGTTTTATATTTTCCTAAGCCACAACAAATGTAAAATAAGTTCATATGTATTAAATTATAGTTGACTTCAACAACATGGAGGTTAGGGTTGCTGACGCCCCATGTAGTACAAAATGTTCATATAACTTTTGACTCCCAAAAAACTTTACTAATAGCCTACTGTTGACTGGAAGACTTACTGATAACATCAATAGTCAATCAATACACCTGTTGTATGTTATATGTATTACACACTGTATTCTTACAAGTAAGTAAGCTAGAGAAAAGAAAATGTTAATAAGAACAAGAGTGAGAGAAAACACATTTATTATTCACTACGTGGAAGTGGATCATCATAAAGGTCTCTATTCCTGTCATCTTCACACTGAGTAGGCTGAGGAGGAGGAGGAATCGGAGCAGTTGTGGCAGAGGCAAAAGAAAATCTGTGTATAAGTGGACCTGCACAGCTTGAATCCATGTTGTTCAAGGGTCGACTGTATTTTAAATACAGGTCAATTGCCTAAGAGTTAGGATAGCCAGCACTGTTGAACAGGGACAGGTACGATTCTGTGTAATGCAGAGAACTCTATCTCTAGCAATTTTAAAGATAATTCACAAAACAATTTGCATCTGCATTTTTCTAACACTTACCTTTTAGAAATGATGGTGTGTATCCATAAATTCAAGAAACAGTTTATTACAGTGGTTAGAGCATAAACTTTGAAAGCAGCCAGTGATGTGCCAGAATCAGCACTTGAGATAATTATTAACTAAATATTCAGATACTGCAAACCTGTAGTTAAACTATGGGTAGCTTGAAATTGGCCATGGTGGAGCATTTACACGGTGGAAATTGACAAATGCTATCAATCTAGGTCTCCCTTGCAACCACCACCTGGTTTGCCAGAAACTACTGATTCAGATATACATTTGTTTAAATGCCAACTTTAACACTTAATAGTTTATAGCCTTTAGTATCTTATCTTGCCTTTCTTTCTTGCAACTCCCAGATCTAGAAAATGATATAATTATTTATAGTCATAAGGTAGCTTTGAGGATTAAGTTAACTTATATAATCATCCAGTGCACATTCAATAAATGGTGGTCATTTTAATAAGCCAAAATCATAAAAAAGACAACAAGAAAGAGAAAATCAAAAACTAAAGGAATAACCTTCTGAGAATAGTGAATTTTTGCTGCATTAACAGGTATCATTAGGCAAGAGATTCTAGATCTATAATAGAGAAAAAAAAATCCACTCCAGTTAATGCTTCACTCACCATGAAGAGACTGTTCGGTGTTTGTTCACTCTCTCCGAAGGGTGGGATAGGAGAATCAGTTCTACTAGACTTGTTTTCTTGGTTAGCTTGTTGCTCTGGGATCGGCTCATATAAGCTATCCATAGAGCCTTCCTGCAACAGGGAGATGTATGAGTCAAGGTATAACAGAATAATAATTTTCCTTGAAAAGATACCTAATTTATCCACCCACCTTTTTATAGTACTTTATTTAAATTATCCTGGGGATATGATTAAGAGTTTACAAGATGCTAATTTTCAACAGTGAACAATACAGTAAAGCCAGGAATTATTACCCAGCCAGGAATTATTGTTCCCACCATTATTACAGAGCCAAGAATTTAAACAAGAGTCTAAGTGTTGCAGAGGCAGGCACACAATGAGGGAATTCCTCAAGAGGTATGTTGAAGACATGAAGTTCGAAAAACTAAATAAATGCCTATTTGAGACACCAATAAACTGTGTTGGTCACAGATTTGAGTTACATGTATGTCTCTAATTGGTACCACCTCCTTTTATAAGAAATACAATCTGCTGATCTTAGTTTTCTCAACTGTAAAGTAGCAGTTTCTAGGGCAGAGGACGCGAAGCAAGATGACAGAATAGAAAGTTCCGGTGATCGTTTCCCCACAGCAAGGACCCCAAGTTAGCAACTATCTACACAGAGAAACTACCCCCTCATAAGAATCAAAATTCAGGTGAGCACTCCTAGTACCTGGTTTTAACATCAAATCACTAAAAGAGGCACTGAAGAGATAGAAAAAACAGTCCCGAATCTCTGACGCCACTCCTCCCCTACCGTGGCATCTGCGGCCTGGTGTGGAGAGCATCTCTGGGCTCTGGGGAAGGGAGAACACAGCCATTGTGAGGCATTGAACTTAGTGCTGTCCTGTTAGAGAATAAAAAAACCCAGACCAAACTCAGTTGATGCCCAGCCATAGAGGGAGCATTTAAACCAGCCCTAGCCAGAAGGGAATCTCCGATTGCAATGGTCCAAACTTGAGTGCCTGCAAACCTTGCCACCCACGGCTACAGCACTCTGTGTCTCCAGTAAACTCAAAAGGCAGTCTAGGACACAAGGACTGCAACTCCTGTGGGCATCCCAGTGTGAACTAAGCTCAGAGACTGTAGACTGAGGGGGCATGTGACACACTGAGACACCGGTTGGGGCAGCCAAAGGAGTGCAGGCATCACCCTGCCCCTAACCTCAAGTTGCATAGCTTGAGGCTCCAAAAGAGACCCCTTCCTTCTGCTTGAGGAGAGAAGGAAGTGTAGGGAGGCCTTTGTCTTGCATCTAGGGTACCAGCTCAGCCACAGCATAATAGGGCACTGGTGAGAGTCATAAGGTACCCCCTCTCTGGGCCCTAGCTCCCAGATGACATTTCTAGGCAACCCTAGGCCAGAAGGAAACCGCCGCCCTGAAGGAAAGGATTCAGTCCTGGCAGTATTCATTACCTGCTAACTGAAGAGCACTTGGGCCCTGAATAGCCAGCAGTGATACCCAGATACTCTGGCTGTGGTGGCTACAGAGCAAAACTGCTTCTGTTTGAGAAAATCAGAGGGAAATGCAAAGGGGACCTTATCTTGAATCTTAGGTATCAGCACAGCCACATGGGGGTAGAGCACCGACTGGGCTCTTGTAGTCTCTTATTCCAGGACTGTATGCTTGGATGGCATTTCTGGACATGCCCTGGGCCAAAGGGGACTCCAGTGCCCTGCAAGGTAAGTCCCAGGCCAGGTAGCACTCACAAAAAGCTGATTAAGAGACCTTGAGCCTTAAGAGAACACATGTGGTAGTCTCACAGTACTCCTTGTACCTAGGGTGATGTGGCTACAGAGTGAGGCTCCTCTGTCTTTAAAAACTGGACAGAAGAGTGGGAAGGATGGTGTGGTTTGAGTGTCAGCTCAGCTGTAATACAATAGAACACCAGGTAGACTTTTAAGGTTTCAGACTCTAGTCCCTGACTCCTGGACTGCACTTCTGGACTCACCCAGGACCTGGGGGCCCTCAGTGCCCTGAAGGGAAGGACAGAGGCATGACTGGATTTGCCCCCTGCTAACTGTAGAGCCCGAGTGCTTTGAGTGAACACAGGCAGTAGCTGGGGGTGGTTATAGCAGGCCTCGGGCAAGACCCAGTGCTGTGCTGGCTTCAGGTCTGACCCAGCACAGTCACAGTAGTGGTAGCTACAGGGGTGCCACTGTCACTCCACCTCCAGCTTCCAGTAACTCATAACACAGAGGGAGACTGTATGTTTTGGAGAAAGTCATAAAAGAGAACAAGAGTTTCTGACTGGTAATCCAGAGAATCTCCCATATCTGGTCGAAAACCATCAGGGAGGTACTTCGATCTGCAAGAACCACAGTGCTACTGGGCTTGGGATATCCCCTAAAGCAGGCACAGCTTAGATTACAAAACACAAGTCCTTTCAAATATCTGGAAAGCCTCCCCAAGAAGGACAGCTACGAATAATCCAAGACAGTGAACACTAAAATAAATACTTAACTCCTTAATGCCCAGACACCAAAGAACGTCTACTAGCATCAACACCATCCAGAAAATCAGGACCTCACCAAGTAAACTAAATAAGGCATCAGGGAGCAATCTTGGAGAAAGAGATATGTGACCTTTCAGATAATTCGAAATAGAGGTGTTGAGGAAACTCAAGGAAATTCAAAATAACACAGAGAAGGAATTCAGAATTCTATCCAATAAATTAACAAATAAATTGAAATGATTAAAAAAAATCAAGCAGAAATCCTAAAGCTGAAAAATGCAATTGGCACACTGAAGAATGCATCAGAGTCCTTTAATAGCAGAATGCATAAGCAGAAGAAAGAATTAGTGAGCCTAAAGACAGGCTATTTTAAAATACATAGTCAGAGGAGACAAAGAAAAAAGAACAAAAAACAATGTAGCACACCTACCAGATCTAGAAAATTGCCTCAAAAGGGCAAATCTAAGAGTCATTGGCCTTAAAGAGGATGTAGGTAAAGAGATAGGGGTAGAAAGTTTATTCAAAAGAATAATGACAGAGAACTTCCCAAACCTAGAGAAAGATATCAGTAGCCAAGTACAAGAAGGTTATAGAACACCAAGCAGATTTAACCCTAAGAAAACTACCTCAAGGTATTTAATAATCAAATTCCCAATTGTCAAGGATAAAGAAAGAACTCTAAAAGCCACAAGAGAAAAGAAACAAATAATATACAATGGAGCTCCTATACGTCTGGCAACAGACTTTTCAGTAGAAACCTTACAGGCCAGGAGAGTAGCATGACATATTCAAAGTGCTTAAGGAAAATAATTTTTACCCTAGAATAATGTATCTGGTGAAAATATCTTTCAAACATGAAGGAATAAAGACTTTCCCAGACAAACAAAAGCTGAGGGATTTCAACAATGCCAGGCCAGTCCTATAAGAAATGCTAAAGGGAGTACTTCAAACAGAAAGAAAAGGACAGTAATGAGCAATAAATAATCACCTGAAGGTACAAAACTCACTGGTAATAGTAAGTACACAGAAATACACAGAATATTATAACACTTTAACTGTGGTGTGTAAACTACTCTTAAGTAGGAAGACTAAAAAATGAACCAATGAAAAATAATAACTACAACAGCTTTTCAAGACACTGTCAGCACAATAAGACATAAATAGAAGCAATGAAAAGTTAAAAAGCAGGGAGACAGTGTCAATGTATTGAGTTTTTGTTAGTTTTATTTTTGCTTGTTTGTTTATGCAAATAATGTTAAGTTGTTAGCAGGTTAAAATGATGAGTCATAATATTTGCAAACCTCATGATAAACTCAAACCGAAAAACATACAATGAAAAGACAAGAAGTAAAAAGCAAGAAACTAAACCATGTCTCCAGACAAAGTTACCTTCAGTAGAGAAAGACAGGAAGGAGAGAAAGAAGGAAGATAAGACCAGAAAACAAGTAATAAATGGCAAGAGTAAGTCCTCAATTATCAATAATAACATTAAATTTAAATGGACTAAAATCTCCAATCAAAAGACATAGACAGGCTGCATGAATGAAAAAACATAACCCATTAATCTGCTCCCTGCAAGAAACACACTTTAACTACAAACACACATATAGATGGACTGGGTGTGGTGGGTCACTCCTGTGATCCCAGCACTTTGAAAGGCCAAGGTGGATGGATCACCTGAGGTCAGGAGTTTGAGACCAGTCTGAAAAACCTGGTGAAACCCCATGTCTACTAAAAATACAAATAGTAGTCAGGTGTGATGGCACACACCTGTAATCTCAGCTACTCGGGAGGCTGAGGCAGGAGAATCTCTTGAACTCAAGAGGCAGAGGTTGCAGTGAGCCAAGATCACACCATTGCACTCCACCCTGGGTGACAGAGTGAAACACTGTCTCAAAACACATACACACACACACACACACACACACACACACACACACACAGAAAGAGAGAAAATAAAGGGATGGAAAAAGATATTCTATGCCAATGAAAACCAAAAAAGGATAGAAGTCACTAAACTTATATCAGATAAAATAGATTTCAACACAAAATCTGTAAGAGGCAAAGAAGGTCACTATTTAATGATAAAGGGATCAATTCAGCAAGATTATATAAACATTTTAAATATATATACACCCAACACTGGAGTATTTAGGCAAATAAAGGAAATATTTTTAGAGATAAAGAGGGAGATAGGACTGAATACAATAATAGCTAGAGACTTTAACATCCCATTTTCAGCTTAGGAAAGATCTTCCAGACAGAAAATCAACAAAGAAACATCAGACTGAATCTTCACTATAGAGTAAGTTGATCTAATAGATATTTACAGAACATTTCAGCCAAAAGCTGCAGAATACACATTCTTTTCCCTAGAAAATGTAGCATTCTCAAGAATAAAATATATGTAAAACAAAAAAGTATTAAAACATGAAATAAATTGAAATAATATAAAGCATCTTCTGTTACCACAATGGAATAAAACTAAAAACTAATAAGAATAGGAATTTTGGAAACTATACAACATGAGAATTAAACAATACACTCCTGAGTGACCAGTGGTCAAGGAAGAGATTAAGAAGGAAATTGGAAAATTTCTTGAAAGACGTGATAATAGAA